ACCAATGAGACGTTCATTTCGGCTGGTCGGAGTCCAGATCTCCGAGGACTTGATTTGACACGAACGCATCTCATCAATCATCAAATCAAAATGCTGGGTCAGTTGTTTAGAGATAAGAAGTAGTAGTTCTCTATGTAAGCTTCTAAGTCTCTTGTACAAGGCCCAGCCTCGGCTATTTCTAACATGTTTAGGTTGCTAGTGCCCGGACTACATTATCCCGCTTTGCAAAGGAAGACTGTCTGAAAATCTCAGGTAAAAAGAGCTCTCCTCCATGATGGCCGCCCCGCGATAGCTTGTCAGACAGACCTATCTCACTTTAGCCTCCCAACCTAACCGTGTCGAATTTCGTACATCCAAAACTGGCGAGTCCGACAGCTCCTCTATGCCTAAGGTGTCAAGATTGTAGAACAATCTGCTTGAGGAGGCTTTTAGAGTTCTACTAATAGTTCAAAAGTCGGATTAACAAAACAAAGTGTGTTTAAGCAGTCGCGATGCCCCGGCACTCAGGCCTCTATAAAAACCGAAAAATGGTCTTCATGACAGTTATGGAGAGCGATACAACTTTTCCATCTCAAGTTCTGTAATTGAACGTAAAGGTTGTGCTATGAACAATGGCTTACGGAAGCGTTACTGAAAAATTTGTGAAAGCAGCACCTGGTGAAAAGAACACAATAATGACAAAAATCAACAAAAGTCATGCCCCTAAGCCTTTGATACTGCGTATGTGACTAGGGGTAATTTTCATCCCCAAATGCGGTTTGAACAAATAGTTTCCACTGCATCGTCTCAATAGATTTTATTGTTCTCTTAGAAACACTCATCAGTCTGTCAAGGTTGATTTTCAAACCTTTTCACCAAAATGGATAAATAGTATTCTTGAAAAAGTTATAGGTATACACAGGTGTGATTATACCTAGCGATGAAAGCTTTTTCATCAAAATCCTTGGAAGTGTTTGGAAATACGAACCAAAACGAACATGAACTTTGCTTAAAACATGTGATACATCTAAAGTATGCATCATATTCCAGTTTGATCTGTGTTAAAATACATACTTCAATACGTCAAATACATCATTGAACTTTAGAGTCAACTTCGTCAACTCATTCGCCAAAAAAGGCCAATAGTATTCAAGAACACACCACAGGTAATATGCAAAGCCAATAGTGGCTTAAGTTATCAATAAGGCCACACAAAAAAATCCATCCAGGACGATGTGAAACATAATACTTTGTGGAAAGCAAATCCAACCTCGTAAAATAGTAAAATCGGGAGTGTTATTAGAATATATTTCGATGATATTGAGCAGGTACAGGTAAAAATTAAGATATCATTGGTAGGCAATATTTAATAACAATTCCACACACACATATACTCACGTTTCAAATATAAACCTTGTATGTATTTATATCCATAAATCTGACGACATATCTACAAAAGCTCCGCAGTAGCCTCACAGTAACCACAAGCACTCTGACACAAACTTCAAAGCCGCTGCTTACCTTTGGCCTGAAAAAACCAAAAAAGCACGTGGCTGGCGTCAAAATACCCGTATTATTAGGTTAGAGCGACTAGCGACACGTCTGCGAGCCCGCTACTGAAACAGCTGACGCTCAACTGCTAAAATTATAGCAAAACAAAAACTCCCGTTTTGTCATAAAAATATCTTAATTGGACCGCTTAATGTCACTGGCAAGCACTCTCGAGGAAGGTGCGGTTAACTAGAAGAAAATTAGTGTGGTTAGTGTGTTATTGAAGCTAAATTAATTGCTTCCTGTGCTACCTGCTGGGAAGTATTGATATATTTTTGTTGGAAGTATAGGGCGGCGACCACTTTAGGTCAACTGTATATCAAGAAAAGCTAGGGGATGTAACATATAACTATTCTTCAGCAACTATGTAGCTGGTTTCAACTGGTGACCCTGCTTTGAATGCACGGGTACTGGATACGGGATCTTGGTAAGAGATACGTAGTCGGTTAGATGGGGTCAAACATAGCTTTGCAATTCTGAGTATTTCCAGAGATACAGGAAAGAAGGCGATTTTCTCGAAACAGATTATATATTTTCGTGGCTTCATTTGAGAAGGGATTACAAAATAAAAAAATACAATAATTTTGCAACGTTTCCTCTTGTTCAAAATGGCAGAGTAATAATATGCCCTCAATCATCAGCTTTATTTTTTCTCAGAGACGCCATACTAGCCTTTAAAAAGGCAACTCTGCATCCAAAAATATTTTATTTTCATAGTTTATCAAAACCAAATCACCAAAGACTCACTATCTGAGAAGCATGTTTATGGGACAGATAATTTGCCCATTTCTTAACTATAACAAGAGTTATTTTAGCACGCTCTACATAATACCTCAACCACAGATTAATAAATAGTATTTGAAATGTATTTAAGAGGCTGCTACATCGTCGAGACTTTTACTTATTCCAGAATGTTTACATAAAATCAATACTGTTATCAATATTTTCAATTCGACCCATAAATAATCTGAAGTTTTAGTACTAGGTCCTTCTTTATTCGATTAGTTATAAAAAGATTAATTTTTTAGATATTTGAAATTTAATAATACCAATCCATGTCATGATATGTATAATATCACATAATTGAAACTGGAAATAGGGACTGTTCACCCAAGCCTACTTTATAAAGAGTAAAGGAATGCTTTGCTGAAGTTATAATGAAAGGAATGACTATCGGATAAGTTTAAAAATTCTGAAATAACTAACGCGACAATCACAATGTCATCTGTCGACGCATCATCTTTCCGTTCCGTCCATCTTCTCCACGTGAAGCGGATGTAGGAGGTTAGAAAACCAGGTTCCGGTTTTGTCCCCAAAATTGCTTCTCGTTAATTTTTAATATGTTCGGGTGTATTGATCTATAGGGTTAACACCTAACGATGGTATCCGTCGTTATCAATAAGCCCAATGTGTCCGTCCGATTGGTTTTATATTTGTAACAAGTGCTCTCATCCCCGCGTTGGTTTTGAAACACCATTTGGCTGCAACCTCAACGACGAGTAAGTTGTTTGACAATTTAAATCTTTCCCGTATTGGTTGCTAGCATCATAATTGTGTTTACAGCTCCTGATGAAGGCTCCATAGAGAATTGACGAAAGCTAGAGACTACCATCAAAAGAGTTAACTAAAGCCTAAAAACTAAATACAATTAATTATTAATTTGAAATTTGAAAAAGGACGGACTCAGTGGGTTTTTTGGTAAAGACGGAAATCGTAAGTGTTACCACTATATATAAATACACCCGAACTAATTTAAACTTATCGAACATTTTAGAAATTTTAGAAGTAGAACTGCATTTGGGGAAAAACGGCAGAGCCCCTTCTAACCTTCTACATCTGTTTCACATGGAGACAATGAGCGAACCGGAAGAGTGGTATATATATTTATATATATATATATATTTTATACATTTTTGGAATCAGTATTAAAAACTTTCTTACATGTGCAAAACATTCAATATGCAGTGTATAAGAGCCATAGTTACTTTTTATTGCAAATTTTTCATTTACTGCTTGTTGTTTCTGGGACATTATAAACGAAGAGTGTTAACTTACTACGTAATTTATGTCGTGATTATTAGTGCTTTTACTTTTGGAAACCACAACTAAATCTCATGAAATAAATGATATATCACACACATCTTCCAGTTGATTTTCAAGTAGCACCTGTGGATTTCCTTTATTTTGAAAGTTGCATAACACAACAGACACTGTTTCATATATTCGTATTTTATAATAATGATAAAGTACCGACTTTTCCGTTATAGGTTAGTTATTCTCTGATGTTTTTCGGTCAAAATTGTTTATCACCTTAGCAGTATTTTCCCAACGGGATATGTTCGATATCTAAAACCATTTTCTACATTATGTCTTGTTTTTTTAGGAATCTGCCCCGCTGTGCTTACAAAACATAAGTACTGGGATCAGCGCCATGTAGAGCAAAATCTTGCTAGATGCGCCATTATCATTATCTGACAATTGTTCACACGTCGAAGTGAAACTGTGTCTAATAAATATACAAACATCCCAATACCCAGCAACCATTCGTCTTTTTTTTTTTTTGGAAAATTGGACTGCATTTTCACCGGGCAGATATCCAGTGGCTATAAGTGGTAACACCTGGAAACGAGTGAAAAACGTACAATAGCAAGCATCATTTTCCACAGCAGATCTGTATAGGGCTCAAGATCTGAGTACATTTTCATACATAAAGTCAAGTGGATAAGTTGTCCTCAGTATGACCTACTGAGTAGTCAGAAAAGTACTTCCAGATAACATGTAAACTACCATTGCTTTTTAAGTTTGAGGATCAAAATAAAAAAAAAAACATGTTTATTCTTTCCTCTGATATGACCGCACAGGCCATTTGGAGGTTAAGTTTTACATTTAAATGGCAACCACAGCTTATGACCACTTAACCTCACGTAAGTAAATGTACTCTCATGTGAAAGCTTAAGCTTAGCTGTCAAAGTGATAGTTGCTATATGAATTTTCATGTTTGACTTCCTAATGGCTTCTAATGTCGTTATTTAGGTCATACTTGAAGTCGTCGACAACTTGCTTTTTGATATAATGAAACTTTCGTTGAAAATTCGCGTTGTCAAGCTTTTGGAGTGTTCGTGTAATCTTCAAACGGTAAGTCCTACCGAGTGAATAACTTATAACCACTTGACCTCATATAAGAAACTAATGAACCTTTTATCAATAATAATCATTGTTAATTAAATTTTCAAATTGGACCTTTAAATTGCTACATTGGTATCCTGAAATTTCTGTTAGAGCCTTTTTCGAGAAAATACGGATTATTACGTAAAAAACCTACAAAGTTTAAAAAAAAAGATACAATGTCAACTTGTTGATTAAGTAGAGCATAAGTAAAACGACAGCTAGTTCCAAGTTGACATCTTGTAGCACACCCTGTAAAATGTCCTAAAAAACCTACATAGTGTCAGAAAAAAGCGACATGGTCACTTTTCAAGTTACGTAATACCCCGGCCGGTCTCCGAGAATTCGGGGTACTGCACTGTTCTGGTACCTACCCTAGCAACTCTGATTGGCTGGTTCGTGTCGGCACCACCTCTGATTCGAAATCCCCATGGAGAACCGCCTTCGAGTATCACCTGTTTCGTGGTCATGGCATACCACAACTACACTGCCTCTACTCAAATGTTGCACTCCATTCATGGATAGGAATACTGTTATGGTACCAGTAGTTCTCTGTAATAGAAAAAAAATCGGTAATTATATTGAAACCATAACATAATATCGGACTAGATGCCACGAGTGCCATTGTGCCAGTCTAACGTACAAGTTTTAAGTAATTTGATTCACTTAGATGTTCTTACTTGATTCCGTAACAACACAAGTAACTAATACATAATAAAGGTCGGATCCAGGATTTCGTCTAGGGGGGGGGAGGGGGCGCAAACGATCTGTGGGGTTGTTTTTCTCAGTTTTCGAATCGGTGTTGATCGCATGTAAAAATGTTGGAAATCTTTGGAAAAACCTATATATGTTAGATCGCAATTATTTTGATAATGTATGTTTGTACGAATCAAGAACAGGAATACAGGGCTGTACATATTCACGTGTAGTGCAGAAGCTCTGTGACTTGAACGAATTCCAATATAGCAACATAAATAGAAACATACGCGGGAAGAAATGCGGGACGTGTGATATTGACTTTGAGCATCGATCGACGCATCTTCTGGACAGGCTACAGGCGCACCGCTAAGCAAATCTCATAAATGTATATTTCCAATGTATGCGTTCATCTAACATATAGTCTAATCATATTAGCAAATTTCCCCAAAATAATTGCAAAGTCCGGTTTCATTGGTGCAAGTTGTTCAAGGGCGCATTTTAAACATGGACGCATAAAATGGTTACACCAATTTTTGTGGGAAAACTGTTTATTTGACAACAAAGAATGAGAAAACGTGGTTTTTAGGATTCAATCGAAAGTTATATAAGATTTTTAGGCATTTATGAGACCTACAGAATGAGACCACACGTGAAAAGATCCGACTAATAGCAAAACTGTTATGGCCGAAAAACCAGGCAAAATGGTTTTGGCACTTGCTGGTAATGCGACGATAATTTTACGCAACTACTTGAAATTAAATCCGCAGGACTCATACTTCTAAATAACATCAGTAAAATTGGAGTATAACGGTCAAGTAGTTTTTGAGAATTTCTAATTGTTTATCAGAAAACACCTGTTTTCCGAACATCACTACTAGTTTATTGAGCTTTATACAAGATTAGTTCAAAGAGCAAAATACACCATTCCGAAAGATAAATGTTATTTTTAGGCGAAAAATAACGGTTACGTTTTTTTCTTCAAAGCAAATTCAAACATTTTGTATTTGTGAGTAATTGAGCAAATGCGATATTCGAAATACATACGTTACTACAGGGTTATCCAAATTAAGTGTCCACCATTAGTAACTTTGTTATTAGTGAAAATACAAAGTTGTTTGAATTAGCAAACTAGTAGCATTTTTAACGCTGGTAAAAATGAGAAATAAAAAAAAACAATTGAGAGTCGTTATTTTGATTTTTTTCAGTAAAATAACATTTTTTTAAATGGAAACCCCTGTATATTATATTTTTTCTGTTAAAGCATCAAATTCTAAACAAAAAAGCTTACAATAACTTTTCTCCTAGGTTACAAATTGTTGAAGTTATGGCCTCCAATCTGAAACAATTAAATTGTATCGACAAACTTTATTTTCAACATCAACTTATAATCTTACAAAATACAATAACAATTTTTTTTAAAGAAGATGCTCGAAAACACCACCTTGTTCTTCAATACATTTTTGGGCACGTTTTTCAACTGCTCGAACTGTCTTAAGTATGGTCCTACCATCTATCTGGGTTATCTTTTCCCTAACTGCAGTCTTTAACGCGTCAAGGTTATCGTACCTTCGCTTGTAAATTTGGTTCTTTAAGTAACCCACAAGAAGTAATCAAGTGGGTTTAGATCTGGTGATCTGGGAGGCCACTGTATTGGGCCATTTGTTCCTATCCACTGATCATTAAAAGTAGTACTTAGAAAATGATAAGTACCTCTGGAGTTGTGGGCAGGTGCGCCATCTTGCTGAAAATGCAGATGATGTCTACTTATAAGATCCAATTCGTCTAAGAAATTAGTCAGAATTTCTGACATAAATTCCACATATCTTTCACCAGTTAGGGTTCCCTCATAAAAGAACGGGCCAACAATTTTTGAACCAATTATACCGCACCAAACGTTGAAACTGAAACGGACTTGTGGGCCTCTTGGATGTACTAACAAAAGATTTTCTCTTGACCAATAATGGTGGTTTTTTCTATTAAACATTCCAGAATTTGAAAAATTTTATTCATCTGTCCATAAAAGGTAACGAAAGTTATTTACATTTTGGCGACAGAAACTAAGATACCAATGGCAAAAAACAAGTCTTCTCTCTGGATCCCCTGCCAAAAGCGTTTGAACTGGTCGGTACTTATACGGAATAAATTTGTATTTTTTTAAAATCCTTTGAACAGTACCATAACTGAAATTAGAGTCCTTGAGAATATCTGCTATTGAATTCTCACGATAAGCTTCAAAATATCCAATAACTGCAATTTCCGTGGCCTCGCTTATTATGAATTCTTTTTTTGCCCTTGTTTTAGCAAAAACATTTTCGTTGCCCCTAAATTTTCGATAAAGTCTCAGAAAATATCGTTCATACGGTTGAATGCGAGCGGGATATAATTCACTGTAGTATTCTCTTGCTCTCAAGGAGGATTTTCTGCACACTAAATAGCATTCTAACATATCACACTTTTCTTCATGGGAGAACATTTTTCTTTAAATTAATGACACAATAAAGCTTATAAACAAGTATTTACACTAATGTTTGACATTATTTGATTTCATCATTGTTTTCCAAAGCCTTCTAGTTGCGAGTATGTCCAGTTTAACAATTTGTCGCTTATCTTAATGCTGTCAAATCGCGAACGCCATGTTGTTTTCATAGCCGTCTTAATATTATAATACTGCAAATAATTAAAAATATTTATCGTTATTTTGACTTTATTTTTGACTTTAGCGGAAAAGTCATTATGAACTTTTTTGTTTAAAATTTGATGCTTTAACAGAAAAAAATATAATATACAGGGGTTTCTATTTAAAAAAATGTTATTTTACTGAAAAAAATCAAAATAACGACTCTTAATTGTTTTTTTTATTTCTCATTTTTACCAGCGTTAAAAATGCTACTAGTTTGCTAATTCAAACAACTTTGTATTTTCACTAATAACAAAGTTACTAATGGTGGACACTTAATTTGGATAACCCTGTATACACATTTTAAAACAAAGCGGATGTGTCTATCATCTTTTGTTGCGAGTTACTCACAAATACGAAATGTTTGCATAAAAATAACATTTATCTTCCGGAATAATTTTCGATTTATATCGGCAAGGTAAACTAGCGTATTTTGCTATAAAATGCCCTTTGAACTAACCAATGTATATTGCTCAAAAAAACTAGTAGTGATTGCCGGAGAATAGATGTCTTGCGATAAACAATTCAAAATTCTCACAAGCTACTTGACCAATCTACTCCAATTTTGTTGTGGTTGTACGTATAAATGGTAAGACTTAAATGTAAGTGATGTCGAAGAGGGACAGCGTTTGGAATACCAAAGGATACCAAAAACCCCAATGCTTAGTTCCTATAGCTATAACTTATAGTTAGTATACCTCTGTCGCCATGATGTGTCAGAAAGCAACACGATGATGTCAGATTACGAAAGCAATTGTCTAGGGGGGGGGTGCGCCTCCCGCGCCCCCCTCTAAATCCGCCACTGTACATAACATAATAATCAAGTTGCTTTGGATAATATCTGAGTAGCGCTGCTATGGTTTCTAGTGTTTGTCATAATATTGTTTTAAACTTTATGAATAATCTTTAGTTGACAATAAGTTAAGCAACTTGATTATTATGTTATAAATATGTTTTATCATCGTGGTACAAATAATGCATTGGAACTTTTAAAAGCAAATATCTTCAAAACTGTTAGCTTTAGACGCTAGCAAGTAAACCTTTTTTGTTTTTGAAATACAAGAAAATAATATTTTTCGGTCAGTTGTATACAGGGTAGCACAAAAAAGTTATGATAAGTTATTTACCGAAATAGTGCTGTAAGTGGCGCCCTCTAGAAGTTTGGTCATAAAAAATAAGGGATTCTTGTTTCATATACTAGAAAACCTTCCCATACCAAGTTTTATGCCAAAATCTTAAACCCTTCTCAAGCAATAAGGAAAAATAGAAAATAAAATTGTAACTTTCACACCCTGTATCTCGCAAATTATCGCCTTATGGACAAAGGTATGTTTGGGTCAATTCACATATTTTGGTCTGTAGTATCTCCTGTTTCGAGATTTCTCAACGCAGATTATATTCTCAGTTGTTAGTATTGTTTAATCTTTTTCACATCATAGGTAGAATATGCATGGAAGTCTATATAACGTGCGTCCAGCGAAATAACGTAAAACATATTGATTTTAAGTGCAAAATGCAATTTTTAAATGAAGTAGCGAAAATCAAACATCCCTATAGATGATTTTTACGATAACTAAAAAGAGCTTATAACAGCTTATGATGTCCACAAGAGCGAAGCTACGGTTATACTATGTGATCACCACCTTCTTCTCAGAGATATAAATGAGTAAGCCTTCGTTCGTAGAAAATTCTCCAACACAACCTTATAGCTGTGGATATTATCCTTCAGGGTACGCCTACAAGTGATGCTTTGTTACGAAATAAGTATAGAGCGATTTTTACAATTGTACAACTTGCGGTGTTAGTGCTACAATGCCCGGTTGCTAACAAAAGCAGAACAAACTGGTGGGTACTGTCAGACGATCTGATCTGATCTCTTTCCATTGTATTATACCAATGCCTTCACTGAATTATACCATGCTCATGGCCCTGAGCCTCCCGTTTGGAATTGATCAACGCCGCTAAAACTATTTGATGAATATAGGGCATAACACTCTACTTACTTTTTTCTAGATAATTCTCGAAGACGCGCGGAGAACTTTTCCCACCGAAAAGAATTTTGATGTTTTTAGGGGTATTTACCTATCGAAATAAAAGGAGATAAATTTATTTTTGCATCTCCAGCAGCAGTTGATGCTGAACTTTTGAGATCACGGATATATCGATATAATTATATGAAACTGATTAAGAAATGCTCTTGACGACCAATACATTAATTAATCAAAAAGCTTTACATGTTTTTGTCACTAATTGAATTTCCAAGAACCATCACTACAAAATATCATAAGTTTTTTTTAAACCTTTGCGACTAGTTTTTGAGGTCAATTTGGTTAAACAGAAAATAACGAAGAATAATTACCGAACGTAAAACCAAGTCCAAGGTTGCATCACAAGAAGCCTAGCATTCAACGGAAATCAGAAACAGATTCAATTAAGAATTAAATAATAATCTATCTATTCATCAATTTCAACAACTTGCCGTATTCGGCACAAATCCGAGACTCACGTTTTAAACAACTCAATACGGTCACCTGGTTTGTGTCTGAAACACCGGAAACTGCGTTCTACACCAAAGCCAGATAAAAAAGAGAGAGGGACCCGGAACGGTAAATAAACGTAAACGAAAAGATACCAACATGCTTTGAAATGTTTGTCAAACAAACCGAAAGAACCAGCCACAGTTAGGGTATTAGTTGTTAATGTATATTTGATGTTCTTTTTGATAAAATTGTTTGGATTAGACGAGACACTTAACATGGGGTATTATTGAAACTGGATTCCGTGACGAGTTTTGATGGTCTGGTTTTATTTATGAATGAAAATTTGTTGACAGGGGCGTTAAGGAGCACTGATATTTTTGATGCTGGTTTTATATGTCCATTCTAAAATGCCGTTAAAAATCCCACTGGTGTCAGAGGCTGAAAACCATTAAAAGGCATGCACAGTTCTCAACAGCATTGTGAAAATATCGTCTTTTTTTCAAAGACAGAGAAATGGAGAGAGGGGAGGGGGGAGAGGGAGATAGAGAACTGAAAAAGTTCAAGGTTTTTGCACAAATCTGTGACTTAATGACTTTTTTCACACCCTGTGGATGTGACCTTCATAGGCGCCAAAGGGGGGCATCAGGGGGGACATAGCCACCCTGAAAATGCAGTTGAACTTCAACATTTTAACATTTATTATGATTTTGCGTATAATTACGGGGATTTTCAGGATTAGCCCCCCTTGAAAAAATTTGCCACTTCCCGCTCTTCAGAAAATTTTGGTAGTTTCACAAAAACATGTTTCTTGTCGATGATCATCCTCCTGAGAAAATTTTCGGCGGGCGCCCATCGTTACCTTTATTTTATGACGTTGACATGAAATGTATAGTCAAATGCTGTCGACATCCGAAACGAAATTTAAATCCTATTCGTTGTTCTGTGATGGTCCAAAACATTTCAGAGGACTGTTAAAAATGTTGTGAAATGTTGGGAATTTACCTTCAAAGATTGGTGTTTTACCCTGAATTACTAATAACTCCTAGCGAAATTGTGGGTCGTACTTGTTGTCCTAAAAAAAAGGTCAGATTTGAAGTATATGTGACACCTATTGTATAACTGTGGTTTTTATTATGCTCTATTAATCATATCAAGAGCAACCTAAATATATGTCAAATACACGGATCCCTTATCAGAATATAAATATTGGAATCATTTTTTATAAATATTTGTATGTTATTCACAATACTCCATCTATTCATTAATATCAAATCCCAATTTACTTGATCTTCACCTTGATACATTCGAATTCAATGTTCACATATATTTTTAATTCCTGTCACCTATAGCTATTTAGCATATCAGCGAACCTATTATTTTTATGTTCTACGCTAAAGTGATTCTCAAGGACCGTTTTCGTACTGATATACAATATATTGGAAGATATCCTGTTACATGAATCTGATGAGAACGGGAATGTGAATAAAAAGCAGCTTATCGTGCTATATAAAAAAATTATAACGAATGGAACAAGGACATAAACTAGTAAACGCTTGAACAAGTTCATTACAGTTTTGAGCCAAAATCAGAACTTTTAGATTATTCCAGTAAAAGTCCACCATAATATCTTGTAGCGTTTTTCTCGGTTCTTTTGAGTGTGGATTAAAACACTGGATCCCACAAAAAGAAATGCACTAATTTACTTAACTTAACTAGACAGAACATTTATGTACACCACTATTTATGTCTGACTACTTTTTTATGAATTATTATGTCGCGCTATTCACTCAACTCTATTCTTTTTCCCTCCCCCGGCCGTCGACTTCTATAGTCCTCATCGCAGGTACTCGTTGATCTCACCGACATCGCCAATGCCACTCGGAGACTTAACCACATCCCGCGGCGGTAGCGGGAAGCCCAGGTTATAATGCTCACCAAGCCAGGCAAGGACCGGAAGTTGCCTCAGAACTACCGGCCCCAAGATATCCAGTGGAGCGACAAAGTCAAATATCTGGGGATAGTATTTGACAAGTCCCTCACCTGGAAAGATCACATAGAAGCTGTCATCGTAAAGACCAGAGCAGCCATGGTCCAACTCTGCCCATTACTGGGTAGACACAGCCGGATGCCGCTAGCGACCAAGCTACGGCTGATCAAGGCCATCGCCACACCTCAGCTCGCTTACGCCTTCGCCGTCTGGAGGTACGCTGCTCCCAGCTACCGCAAGCGACTTGCTGCTCTAGAGATGAAGCTACTCCGGATCGCCACCAGTGCACCATCCTACGTAAGAAACTCAACCTTGCGTAGAGACCTGCATTGGGACACCATTCACGAGTACATGAGGAAAAAAGCAGAGAAGACGTTCCAGAAAGCTCAGGACCACCCGAACGAGCAGCTACGACTCCTCATGGACTACGATTCGGACGAGAGGCCTCGCAACCGCAGAGCCAAGTATCCTACACCCAAGTCACAGTTGGCAGGCGTTAACTGGAACCTTGACTAGGAGTACTCGCGCTTGCTCACCCCCCCCCCCCACGACGTGGAATGGAAGCAGAGGACGAGGACCAGAGCCCACCAGGACCAGGACCCACCAGGACCAGGAACCATCAGGACCAGGACCAACCAGGTTCAGGACCCATCAGGACCAGGTAACAAACAAGTAGAGGACTTGAAACTCTTGATTTTTCGAAAACAAGGGTTTCAAGAGAACGCAGCAAACCCTCTATCGATGCTCGCTTAACGACATCGATAGAACTGTGCGAGGTAAAGGGAACCAACCCGGCGTTCCCAGAGACTGAAACACATGAGGAGACGTTGTAGCAGACCGCAGGTCACGCACAACACATGGCCTTACCGAGACGCTGATGAGTCGGGCCACGCCTAGGTTAGGGTTTAGTGGGTATTAGGTGGTCTCCTCAAGACAACCTGGAGTCCCACACACGCCGTAGCTCGGGCTATGGTATGGTGCATAAACGCATTCCCCCCTCACAAAAAAAAAACTCGTTGATTCGAGAAGGTTCCGGTACGCCACATAGCCAGTCCAGAATCTTTGAGGTCAGTCTTCGATCTAGAAGAAGAGTCCCTGGCACGGTCCGCATCAGACATCGCCATCACCGCGGTGCCCAGCAGTACTATTCAATCTTGTTACAGTATTAACGGGTAGAAATTCGAATATCCCAATAGGTACTTCGAGATTTAAATTTTATGCCATTTTCTAACGGGTTGGCTGGGACGCTTAATTTTGCGAATGTGTCATTTAAAAATCGGGAATTCAGTTAGGGATCACTTTGTTATGAAAGTACGCATCAGAACTATTTAAGTGTACACTATTATGTTTTTTTTTGAAAGGAAGACGTCCATCGCGAGAAACTGTAAACAATTTCCTCCTGTCTGTCTCTCAGTCCCAAAAACTTGGAAAATGCTGGTCAGATTTTAATGAATTTTTTACAGAAATTTACTACTATGCCAAGGACGAATCTTTGTAGTCTTTAAAAATCGGTGGTGGAAGAGTTAGGGACAAAAAACAAAAAAGAAAAATTGCCATGACGTCTCAGAGGCTTCTGATCACCTACAGAATAATTTTGCGTGGAAAATTGTGGGTTTGGGGTAAATGTTGCATGCTATCAGCAAAATACATTTTGTTATTCATTAGTTTGTGATCTCATGAACTAAGCACCTATTAGACACAATATGACACATATTTCGTATAACATTTACGTCTGTTACTCCAGCAAAACCAGCTCCCAGAAACACGAGGCATCGTTTACCTGCGGAGGGTCCGATCTGAATTCAGCAACACCAACGGTGACCCCTCATCAATTCTGTCGACAACCCGCTACGCTGTAAGGCTTATTCGCAAAGTGGTCGGTGACGGAATTCGTGTGGAGGGATCTTGGACACGGTCATTGACAGATTGGAGACTGCTGTACGAACAGAGCTGTAATGATACCAGAGCGTACGAAAGCTGTCCAGATATTATCTCACATGTAGTCATGGCCGATTGTTTCAAAGAAAAGATGAATTAAAGATTCATTTATAAAATTTGTATAACACCTACTGTAGCGGTAAGAATTTCCATTTTCAGCTAATTGCAATGATAGTAGAATCCACAGTACTGTTTGTCACTGATACTCATTCTACTCTACGGTCTCAAGTTCAGTTATAAAGATTTTCATAGCCCCCCAATAACAAAGATACCAGAGTCACCAAAGGTTGACTTAGGTACTATACATGCTGCATATTCAAAGCTCATTTGTCAAGAATCCTGTACAGCGAGTACAGAGTCACTTTACTTGATGCCATTTGTCAGATGAAATGTACTCTCCGGTAGAGTTGAAGTTATTTTAAGTAATCGCTGAGGAGTTGCAATAATGTTTTAGGTATAATAAATCATCAGCACTTCCCGCGTATGTCAGGCAGTTTTATTTAAATAATCAATAAATTCTCGACATATGTTCACTTGATCAATTATCGTCAAGGGAAAGCAAATGATTGCTTTTCAAATCATGTATGAAACAGATCACGGAGTAAACAGTTGTTTATATGGCAACAATTTGTTGCATAGTAAGTATTATTGCCATATGTACACAAGTTGTGCAGTTGAATATTTATGAGAATCCTCATGGAAAATAATTTAGAATTGTTAATGAAACTGTATTATAGCTTCAGGCGTATTGATAGCTATGCATTTGTTATGGCATTCCTTGTAGATGACTGCAAGAGATTGTCTCATTGTCAGGCTCATATTTAGATGATTCAGAGTTTGTCGGATTTTTTAATCTTTTTCGGATGTTTTATGTGTATTTTATATACCGTTCCCTTTTGACAATTCAATGGTTTCTTTTCAAATTAATCATTTTGGTGAAAATGCATAAATTGCCCAAAGAAAAGTAACAAGCGAAGCGATTTTTTTGACTTTTTCAACTTTTTCATTCATGCTCATAGGAGTCCCCACGGGGACTGAAAATTTAAATTTATAGACGTTTCTTGAAGAATTATTTGGATTTTAATTGAATAATAAAGCTTCCTTAGAAACGTTTACGGATTTAACTTTGTATTTTGCAGTATATAGGCTATAGCAGTTATCATCATAGATTTTGTAAATTTGGAAAACTTACGTAGTTTTCGAAATTTCGAAAATTTTCAAATATATGTTTTCAAAATTTCCAAATTCTTCAATATTTTTAAAAGGCAAAACTTTCGAAATATTAAAAATTTTGGTAGGTTTGAAGATCTCGAAAATCCTGCCAATTAGTAAAATTAGACATCTTATGTGTAATGAGTGTGTGGCTTGAAAATTTGTTTTACGCTACAAGAGAGCATCGAAATGCTGCAAACGCACTAAAACTGTTCACTCTCATTTTTCCATGAAAATTACGATGGTGGAACCCTGAATGTTTCCTTCCAGTGTTGCTACAAATATGGATCTTTTCTTTCCCCAATCTGATAATATCAATGGCAACAGTTTGTTGTTTGATGACTATGGTAGTTGCAATTTAAATGTGTTAAACAGGAAACTATTCAAGTTTTAGGTGAAATTGTATCTTGGTGCCAAAAAATTACTCAAAATTTTAGTTGAACATTAGTCATCAGTGAAAACAACATTTGGAGAATATTACTGAAGAAACATGATATTTTTCCAAAATTGTGAATATAATCAAAGAAAATATATGTATACGAAGTTACGGAAGCATTGTTTATTTTTGTTTGCATCTGATTTCTCTAACTAATAGTTTATATTCATCATATTTATGTAACAGTTTATTCTACACTTAAATATGACAGGCATTTAGGAACGCGTTGAAACTACAAATAAACATCTGAAGGCGACATTTTTCTTCCTAGCGTTGCAAATATCTATGACAGAATATGCGAGGTATGTTATTTCTTTAAGCGTAGAAGTAACATTATTATCTGCATCTTTCCAATTGTGTAGAAATAAAACTTTATGTCAGGAGAATATCACGGCTCGTATCGTCAGTCGTTCCTACAATTGTAGGGCGCCTTTATCGCCTCCTTGATTGTCATAGTTTTCTACTTTTCCGTGTCAGCGCTCTATTTTGAGGTTATGTCACAAATATCTATTTGCATCAAATTGTTCATGATTTTGATTTATATCACGTTTTATCAGCCTGAAATTTCTTACAATTCAAAAAGAAAACAGAACTGTACAATAGGAGAGCGCTGACGCTGACACGGAACAGGTGCAATCTAGAAATATTTGAAGGAGAGAAAATACTATGACAATCAAGGAGGCCATAAAGGCGTCGTAATTGTAGGAATTGTAGGAACGACTGACAATACGGGCCTATAGTCAAAATCACGAAAGATGACTATTACGTCATACCATAAATTGTACTGAAGTAATCAATGGGCGTACGTCGATGATAAAATCACGAGTCAGAAACATAATGACAACAAATTTATATTATGATGTTTCGAAGTTAGGTTATTTCACTGATTATTTTTATTTCCATTTTATTTCATGGTTTTGAGTGATACCTTAATAATAATTTTAGTGGGGAGTTTTTGTTTTTAAAAATGAGTAGAATACCTTAAAACAGGAACACCAAAGACCAAAGTATTATTCGAAAACAACATAACCTGCTTTAACATAACCTAACTATTCATCTTTCAAATATAGTCGATCTTGTAACATGAAAACATCGTCTATCTTTGTCGGATACATGCAAATTAGTGATACAGTTTGATTAGACAATAAAATTCTGTTTGTCTCTGTCAAACATATCAGAAGCTTCATTAAACATATTCTCAAATCGCTGTCTTATTTGACTTTTACCAGAATCAGGAGTTAGTGGACGTAATTTTGGCCTTCCAAGATTCCATTCAGATAATCGACCCAAATGAAACAAGATGATATATATATTCAAAAAAGGTAAACATCAAATCTTAAAAAATGAAAGCTGCTACCTTAGTTTCAAAAATTTTCAGCTTCACAAAATCTGTTTGCGAGGAAGACATCCAAAACAATGTTTGACATTTTTTTAGGTTATGCAATTTCCCAAATTATTTTTCATGTCTAAAGATCGCAAAAGAGCCGTAGAAGATACAAAAATGTGGGTGGAGGATGCTCTTGAATACTGGTTTTCCACAATTTTTGAAATTTTGCTGAGCTTTCACGTCCTTGGGATAAATAGTAACCTTGCGATAAATTTTTATGAAAGTCCGACTACTTGAATATACTGTGGGATAGGTTGAAAGTCGTACGTTGTGCGGAAAAAAGAGTACTATCTTATATATGAATCTCTACTTGGAAAGCATCAGTTCTTCACAGGATAAGGACACTATTTTTCAAGAGGCAGCTTCAAACAGATAAGGATTGTCTAATGTCGTAGCTAAATAAGAAACATTTGAGATATACCTATAAGGAAATCGGTATTTCGCTGTTCAAAGTTGATTAACAACGTGCCCCCCTATCATAACAATAAGTATAATCTTTTGCAAATCGACAGTGTATAATTATCTTTAAACTCAGCACATCTTTGTACTTTCATTATGAATTTGTTCAAAAGCTCACCTTCAAACTCACTTTTCCCGCAAAGCGCACAAATCCTTTAAACACGTAAACCACATCCAAACAAAACTTTTCAAAACAAAAACTAAAGCACTTCCGGCAAAGTATACTTTCACACTGCACTTTCGTTTTTCACGGGACTCCAAGGGAAAATCCGTCTTTGAAACGTCGGCGTTAAAAGCCTGCTAGAATCAAGAGTGCGCCGATTTTCGAATGTTCGAGCGTCGCGTGCGCGTATTCGTTTGTTTCAAGTGTGTTTCATAGCCATCTGCGATAGGTGCTTAGGATAAGATGAGGCCCGTGTTAGAGGCGCTGTTTGATGAGACTGGTGCTCGAATAGAAGTTTACTCAATACATAGTTTGATCGGTGTTTATTATAGAGTAAATACACATGCTCAGATTTTTGTTACACATTGCATAGAGTGGCTTATCGTGATCAATTTATAATAAAATATAAAAATGATGTTTTCAATAAATTGCACATCATTAAACACTTTAAAAGAATGATACAGTTAAGATATTTCATTACTACGGAGCACTGGTTCCCAAACTGGTCTATATCGACCCCTAAGGGTCTATAATAAATAACAATCCACACAATCCAAGTGCAGAAAGAAAATCTTTCCTGGCCCCTAGAATGTCGTAGCCAATTCAAAATGATCCGCATAACGGAGAATGACCTGTCGTGGCAGACGTCACTGGTAACGTTATTGCCACTTGAAACAAAGTATCTGCTGATTGAAAGATTTCTGGTTTCAGTTCATTTCGAAGAGTTTCATAAGGTGCATCCTTTCGTCCATCAGCTAAGAAGTAGTAGGAATAAGAATAATGATAGGATACTAATAGCAGGTACTATTTTGTAACTATCGCGTTTGGGAGGGCTAATTTGCGGCATTACCATCATGTTTGTGACCATCGGATTTGGGGGGCTAATCTTGAGCTTGAGGGGCTACGTTCTAGATCATTGATTCCCAAAGTGGTCTATATCGACCCCTAGGGGTCTATGACAAACTGCAAGGGGTCTACGTCAGCGAAAAAAAATTTGGTGGTCCATGAAATGAATATGGGTGTCCACGATAGTGGATCTCAAAACATACACTGATAGTACCTATTTACTTACATCATACTATCTAATATCAAAACATATACATTATTTATAAAAGTACCTATTAAAAAAAAATTTATTATATATGTTTATAGAATTGTGTAAGTTGTAGGATGTTGGTATTCGCTTTGTGGTCGCAATACATTTTGAACTTGTAAAAACCTGAGAGTCGCAGACTCAGAACTTCGCTACCTTGCACTGACTTGTTCAATTCGTCACTCTATAAATACGCATGTGGGACAAATACGTTTATTCGTTTCCTGAATCTTGAAAAGGAAAGTGCTAAGAAAATATTTTAAAAAATATAAACAGATAGTATATCACACAAATTATAGTGAGTCAGTGTTATTGTGTTTGAGAGTGCTGGAGAAAAGTAAGTACATTATTTTTTATTAAATTTTAGTTTTGTACTCGTGGTTAGCAAAGATAGATAAATTACGCCAATCATGATTTTAGTTATTAGTAGTTAAATATTCAATCATGCAAAATTACACGAGTACTCCTCAATAGTTTCTTTTTGAAAGTTTTAGCAATCGGTAATATAATTACAGTGCAATCTCCGTAATTAGAGCTAATTGTTGCAAGAAGATGTTCGAATTATGGAATGTTTTCGGAAAAATCAAAAAATATTTTTAATATACAGCTGCTGGATTTTCTGTCTTATTTAAATAATTTGATTTTGCCCACAGATGACTGATGCCATGTCCGAATCTAAAAAGAAATATAGACAGTAGAGTGTTGATTATTTGAAATTTGGCTTCATTCCATCTTTGCCGGACAAACAATAGCCTATGTGCCTTTTATGCAACAAAGTTTTGGACAATGACGCTATGAAACCATCTAAACTGCAAGATCATCTGAGAAGATGCCACCCTGATAAAACAGAGAAAGATCTGAAATACTTTCAAACACTCAAAGATAAATTTCAGAAGAGATCTACACTGGTCAGTATGTTCGCTTCGACGTCACAAAGAAATGATGATGGTTTGCGGGCGTCTTACAATATCTCGTTACTTATAGCAAAATCCGGAAAACCGCATACTATCGGAGAGAAGTTAATTTTGCCAGCCGTTGAAGAGGTTTTAAAAAATGTTTTACACAAGCCTGCATCTGATATCATTAAAAGAATTCCCTTAAGCAACAATACTGTTAAAAGACGTATTGATGAAATGAGTTCTGATATTGAAAGCTTCTTATGTAATTATTTACAAACGACCCATTTCTCTATACAACTGGACGAGTCAACTTTACCTGATAATGCAGCATTATTATTGGCATATGTTCGTTTTATTATGAATCAAGAAATCTACGAAGAACTGCTCTTCGCAAGAACTTTGATAACCGACACTAAAGGTGAATCAATATTTCATGTTTTGAAGGATTACTTCATTGAAAAAGCAATTCCTTTATCAAATATAATATCAGTAGCTACAGATGGAGCACCTGCCATGGTTGGACGTTATCGTGGATTTATAAGCTATTTAAAACAAAATGTGTCAAAAATTTGAGTGTTAGATTGCATGAATCACTTCATTTAGTCATTGATGCAGTAAACCGAATCCGAAGCAACGCGTTGAATACGCGGTTATTTGGGCAGTTGTGTGAAGAAAATGACGAACACTTTCATCAATTACTCCTTCACACTGAAGTACGCTGGTTGTCGAAAGGCTTATGTTTGACAAGATTTTTTGCACTTTTTGAGACTATTTTAGAATTTCTGGATACTAAAGATAAAATTTTAAAAGAAAATTTAATGAAGAGGAAAACAGACATCGCCTATTTAATAGATCTGTTTACAAAATTTAATATGGTTAATTTGCAGCTACAAGGCGACAGTTTAAATTTGATTAAAACAAAGTCCATCTTATTAGCATTTCTTGCCAGAGTTAAACTAATGAACCACAATATTGGACGGGGCGAATTTTCTCAGTTCCCCAATTTGTCACAGACAAGCTGCAGGAAGACGACGTTTCAACTTACGTTCAACTTTCAAATGAATTCAGATTTTGAATCTAGGTTTGAGGATATTTTGACTATGGTAATACCACCGTGGATAATTAATCCACATGGTGACAGAAGAAACGAACGTCATAATATATACAAGAGGAACTGACTGAACTAAGTACAAACGAAGAACTTAAGGTTCAGTTTAAAAACGGGTATCAGCAATTCTGGCTGCAAAACAACATACCCGTTAATTATCCCGTATTATGGAATATAGCCAGGAAATTTTTAATTTCCTTTCCATCGTCATACCTAGTGGAAAGGGGGTTCAGCGCTGTTACCAATCTCCTAACGAACAAAAGAAACAGACTGGGCATCATTAGCCGAGGAGATTTAAGATTAACCCTTACAAAATTGACGCCAAATGTTGATAATTTATTATTAAAGCATCAGGTTCATCCTTCTCACTAAAAATATTGACTTATTGCTTATGTTATTTTATTTATAGTTTATTTTATGTTGATTGGTGTCTGACCAATAAATGCCCGCACTGGGAATAAGTGCCCGCATTGATTTTTTTAAAGAACCCCCCTTTATAGAAAATATTTTTTTTTAAATCATTCTGAAAATTCGTTAATTTTTGCCTATTTTTAGATAACTTAAAAGTATAAGACGCGGAATTTAATCAAACTAACAGTGAAATTATTGTGGAACATACGTTTATGTTATAATTAATAAACGAACTCGCTTATTGTACTAGTTTAAGTAAAAAACTTTTTTTTATTATTTTTCAATTTTTTTTTATTTTATCCCTCTTATTTTTTTTCAATTCGGGCACTTATTCCCAATGCGGGCACTTATTGGTCAGACACCTGTTTATTTAATGTTACGTATATTTTACAAAACAGATACAAAATTTTATTTTGAGTAGTTTTAATTTAAATTCAATTAATATATGTATAAACTAACATGTGTTTTTACTTTAAGTTTTTAACACTAAACTTCACTACAGTTAGAAATTTACAGGAAACCAATATCAGGTAAGTAGGGGGTCTACCCAACACGGAAAAACATGGCAAGGGGTCTACGACACAAAAAAGTTTGGGGAACTCTGCATGGAGTAACATCTTTCAATATTTTTTGTTAAGGCTCTTATGGATTCCGACCACCAACTTAGTTACTTACACATGTCAAAGCACTTGCTTGTCTTTGCTCAGGTTTGCCCAGTTGACATAGCGGTAGGATAGAGCCAGATCCCTGAGCATCCGTCGATGTGAAATGGTCCTGAGAGTTGATAATCTCCGTTAGAGAAGTGTCCTCTATCAGTTCAGATGACCCCCCCCTGCAGCATCAAGTATGGACAATGTAATCCAGGCGGCAGCACACATCTGATCAGTTCTCGCGGATCGGATTTATCTGAGCGTGGTACTGAGTGAGAAGTTTATTCGGAGGAAACTACTTTTTATTCCTAACCAAATAACCTAACAATAGAGAGCCAGGTCGACGTCCGACCGTCGGTGTGAACGGGTCCCGAGGGTTTCGGAAAGCATCAAACTATACCAGATTGTAATGACTCTAAGCAGTGATCAGATCTTTCCAAACACACATTGAATGCCTGCATTTGGGGTCATCAGTAAAGCTGTAGATTGGATTGTAGGTTGTTGATATACGAATTCCTGAAATAAAGAGGTGGGGCTGTCGATTACGATGGATATCTTGCGGCTGGAAAGTCAGCCGTATACTGATCTGCAAAGCTTCTTTGGAAGGCCAGTTTTCCTAAGAGGGCTGCTCGAAAGTTTTCGTGATATCAAGAGAGACTTGCATTGATCGCTGGTGCCGGAAACCAAACTGCATCTCACTAAACAAGCCGTGATACTCGACATACTGCAGAAGCACTTCTTCATCACCTTATCGCTGATTACACAGGTCTGTAGTTGTAAGGGTCGGTCTTAGTTCCTTTTCTTTTCTTGACGAGCTAGACGCAAAAGAACTGGAGCAAGTTAAACTGCATATCTCTCCTATACAGTATCAGGAACCGAGTCAGGACTAGAAGCCTTGTTGATATCAAGCAACAAGCATACCCATGTACCCACATGAAAGCATTGGGAGGAACATCTATGGTGGAGTCGACAACAAATGTATTGGCAAGCACTTCAACCTTAGCCTTGGAGTCGGTTATATCCTTTCCATTCTAGCACGTAAGCATTGATTTCCTTTAAATTTATTAATTTTCTTTTGTAAAGTTGTAAAGACTGACTGCTATTTCAGGTAGGTAGGTAGGTACTTAATATTTGTTTCTATATTCGACATAGGGCTGTCGCTTCAGTGGGCTTTTCTAAGAAGGCTAAATGAACCCTGATTTTCTGTAAACGAGCAGTGTCAAACAAGTTGTTGGACTACCTGTTAGACCCTGGTTTGATTTTCAACTTGAATTGCAATGACCCATACCTGCAAAGCACTGTGATTACTTTAAGACTTGTCAATATTCATGTTAAAACTTGGGAAAATAACCATACAACCATGGATATCGTCTCCACAAAATTACGAACAAAAGATTGTCAAACAAAAGAAGTACGATTCAAGGCAACTTGATGGCTGCATTCAGAGCAGTTGAATGGCCATGTATATGTTGTACAGCCACGTAATTACAAGCGAGCACCTGATGCTAGCTGGGAGGCTTAAAAAGTCAAGTGACTTCTAACGAGATTAAAACGAGAACAAAAAGGCGTAATCCAGCATAATCTTCCACACAAAAAGGCGTATACGCGTAGCTAGGAGCGATTCTTTTCATAAAAATATGTTGGGTCTCTATGTTTATTATATGATATGTAATATATCTCTACGTATAAAACAGAGTAGATACAAGGATTGCAAAGCATGTAAGCTATAGGAAGGAAAATAAAGACTGTACTGCCACGTGTCAAGCCTTAACGTTTATGTATGTACAGCTTTGCGTTACGATATATCCGTTATAATATCTCAAATCCTCCATTTTACTTCCCACACCTACTGGCGAGAAATTATTTTAATTGCTGGTCCTGGTAAGGGTCCTGGCATTACTGTCGCTATGTCCCGTTTGTGCGACTGACGCATCGCAAGGTCAGGTATCGGGATGGGACGACGTTGCCTTATGAACGGTAGAGCAGGGAAATAATATCTACGGACTAACTGTATGGATTTGATCCGTTTATTTCCTCTCTCATACAGGCTCATAACTAACCTTTCTCTCAAAGCTCCAAACTCGTGCTGAACTTGAAATCTTTGTGGTTTCGCGACACTTGAGTATTTGTTCATGGCTGGATTCGAAATTAGCATTCTGGATTACACAAGTATACTGGGCTTCGGTCTTTTGTAGCTACTGGGAGGGAAAATGGAATTTTTGCATTGAAACTTGAAGGGATAATTTAGGGAGATTTATAAAAAGCCTTTCTTATTCCATTTGGTGCCGAAATTTCATGTCTTGAATGTACATTACGAGTTTTCCGATGACATAGTCCCTAAGAGCCTATATCCTACTTAAAACAATGGCGTTAATTATGCTGATTCTGCACTCCCCATACAATGCTATCTTAGTTCCTAAAAGACTATTATTATAAGAAAAAAATTAGCTACTAACATGTCCAACACAAAAACGAGTTAAACGGATCAAGTAAGCCAAATCCGCCCAAAAATTAGTATATTTCCCGATCCATTTGGTAACGCTTCGCATATTCTTCCATGCCGTCTCTGAAAGCATCGACCATCTGACAACATCAGCCATGTTATGCTGGCCAACTTCAGCAGTGTGGCAGTGGAAGATTAGGCAGCAGTTAGCTTGGGAAGTAAAAGGACTTTACGAGTACATCGCAAGCACATTATTTTTCACTCCTCACACAGAATCCAAAACCTAAAAATTAGACGGATAACACTGATCATTCAAATAGATACGGAGGACGAAAATAGTCATTTCCCATTCTGCTATTGGAGAAAGCTTTCAAAAATTGGTTTATGTCTGCAGTTCTTGAAAACCTGCTGTATAACAGTCAAAGCTAGAATCTCAAATCGCGACCGGGTAGTACAAAGGTTCGTTTTTTTATAGATGATAATTATACTCGATCAAACTTATACTTTCTGGACTAAACCGTTTAGTAAGAGCAGATATGCACCCAATAACTTTCACTTTTTAGACTCAACCAGACGGCAAATGAATCTCAATAAGCATCGCTTACAGACCAAACATCCAGTGATGTTTTAAAATTAGAAGATCCATTTACTGTCGACACCAGGCGTTAAAAATCATGTTTTCGCCAGCAAGCTAGCGCAAGACATGCGAGTGGAATGTCTGCAACATGCAGGTCGAGAGGATTTCAAATAGACGTGATAACACAACCATTATGAATACTTTCGGGAGTGTAAAACTTATAAATAGGTCCAGTAATAATAAATAGGGAATGAAAGTGGTATTAAATCCATTGCGAAATCCATACGATTGATATAGTACAGTAGATTTCTTTAAGAAAAATCACAATCCGTGAAGTTTGCAGAAAAATCGAACCTCATCCCACCTAAATCATTTGACGTTCTA